GCTCTACCCCCTTCATTTATTCACTCCGGGTGGCAACATTGTCGGCGTCATCTTGTCAAACACGATGATGATCGGTGCATCGTGTAGAAGTTGTGCCCGCTGGGGGCAGATGCCTGGAGCGGGAAATTGTTGGCAAAGCGACAGGTTGGTCAGCACCGAACCTCACCAACCGGTGGAGGCGAGGGGCTCCAGGACCTTCCGGGACTGCCACAGCAGTCATCGGGCCTGGAAACAAATCACGTGTTTCTCCCGTTCTCGCTCTATTTGTAAAGCCACTTCGAAGCTTAGTTGTTGATTGCTTTTTCGAGAAAAAATGTGTCTTGTAAATGACGCATAAAATTAGCATAATGTTTTATTAGTTTAGAAAAACGAAATACGGCCAGTTCCTACCAATAGTCCGAGACACGTCGAACATTGCTCGACCCCAACGATCGAGGAAGAGGGGAGGGGGGTCTAATCGTGAATGACGGACTCACCCATGCAGTTCACCCGATTAGTTTATGGAAGATAGTTTATATTCATTTATTAACTGTTTTGGATTTTGCTATTCCGGTACCGGATCATCTCCGTAGTCTCGTGATCTGTAACTTACGTCTGAATAGCGAATGCTGTTATGATTTTAGTTTTGTACGTACTTGGATATTAAATCTAATTCTTTTATTTGGAATGTCACCAATTAGTTTATCAGTAAACCAAAATACGATTCCGCTCCTGCATTTGTCTGAGCCTCCCCACGTTTTGAACCCACCGCCCGCCACTGTTCTTTATGATGACCATCATGGAACAAGATGGGACTGGTCAGGATGCCTTATGGAATCCAATGACGTCCCTACACCTTGATCTCCGTGAACCCTTGCACAGGTACATTAATACACCTGTGTGGCAAATTTCGGAAAGCAGGTAAATTCATAGGACGTAGTCGACCCCAGTGGCACGTGTATTTTTTTGTAGGGGGGAGGGGGGGGGCTATATGTGTCCTGCCCGGCCGTCGTGTTTTCTTGTAAAACAAGTTTCATTTATGCTGGATTAATTCTTGTTGTTGATTTTTATAGTTACCGTATTTGCCGGTGTATCAGACGCACCCCTATTTTCGATAAGGGTTTCATTCTTTAAATGATAAATTTTGTACGTGATTTTTATTTTTATGAAAGAAATGGGAATCGTGACCTCTGGAAAGAAACAATACCGGGGAGTCTTTCTATATTTTGGGGGATATTTTTCTAGTACGCACGGAAAGACCGCGCTTATTCATAAACCTTCTACACCATGTCGTTGACCCAACGCAATTTTCAGCATTCTTTCTTGTTGCAATACTTTTAGCTTCTGTAATAGATTTTGTAGAAAAACGAATTCCTGTTTTCATTGTATAAAAATTTGATTTTTATAATGCTATATATATACTACACATACAGTTACAAACATTTCCATCCGCTGTAAAAGATGCATCCTGTTTTTTGACGAGTTACTGAAGGAAAAAAGTGCGTCTTATACACCGGCAAATGCGTATTTGTTACCTATTCGTTCGAGATATTTAAAATTGAGGGAATGAGTGCCTTCATATGCATGAAGGTGCTAAAATTAAGTTGTCTGTGCAAGGTTTGCTAAGATCGCTTCGTGCAGCATGCTGCTCAACGGTCGGCCGTGCAGAGGGGGTGCCGTTCCCCAGATCCTCTTAGAGTAGCGCCATCCTATGTACGGGCAGCATTTATGCTAATTAATGTGCAAATAGTATAGCGTCCGAGGCGGCACAATAAGTAAGAGAACTGCGGCTGGGCAACTGAAGGTTCGAAGGCTCGCGAGAAGTTAAATTTGACTCGCCCATCCGCCGTTCCTTGCTTTAGGCCTATTTCTGGCAAATTCTCCTGACAAGTAATGGATCTAGTTCTGTATTTCTGTAGTTATTGAGACAGCTTTGTCATCACAAGATTCAAGTGTCTAAACTGCTAAAACAAATCAAATGTCGACTGTACGAATAATTTTTATGCTCTGTTCTCATTAGCTTAACCTTTCCATGCATTAGTTGTGTTTAAAATTTTACAATTTCGAATTTAGTCGCTTAATCCGTTATCTTCGAAATTCGTTGTAGCAGATTTCGGTCGATAAGTACGGGAGCTGGTGTGGTCAACAGTAATAATTTTTGAGGGTTCTTTTGGGAGAAGAGTGCGTTTCGATCTCGTGCCAGTGGTTGATGGGTTGTGGGGGCGGCCGCCCCCTGTAGCCGGCACGAGCCCTTCCACGATTTGCCGAGGCAGTGGGACGTGCGGGGCCTCCGGACACGCCAGATTGTTCCGGAACCGGTCAAAAACTGGCATTCGGTCGTTAGCAGCGCCGTGTGTGGAGGTGCTTTCCGCGCTCGCGGGGCGCGGCGGGCGGGCAGGCGCACAGCGCTATTGATCGGAGCAACTCCTCGCCGAGTATGGCCATTTCTGATGTTGATGGGTGGTTGGAGCGCCTTGTCAGGGTAGTCCTGCGGCTCTATTTGACCGATCTCGAGGTCAGGGATTTTTTTTATTGCCGGGTGAACCTGGAAGATTTTCTCCCTAAGATAAGGCCTTCAGTGGGGTACGTCACAATAGTGAATTAAAATAGAAACCATATGTCATATGTGGTATTATACCCAGTTATCTTCACTTCAGATATCAAAAGAGAAATAAAAAACCTGATACATGCCTATGGGGTACACCTACTAGATTTGCCAGGACTCTTTCTCAACTGTTATGAGTGTGATGAGACTTCTAAAGTTTAGGCTCTAAAATCTCTTTTAGTCACCTTTTATAGACCCTAAAAAGGCAAAAAAACAACAACATAATTTCAACAATAAGCTGTGTAAATTAAGAAGAAAGAATAAATTAAAATGAAATAGGTTTGAAGAATTAAGATATAAATGGTAAAATACAATCAGCAAATTGAGATACAAAAAGGTACAATGAAATACCCTTATTTCTAAAACCCTTCGAATTAAATTAGGAGACTGGAATCTGCGTCTTTTATGACTGAAAATCGTTTTATAAATATAAAGTATTTTTCTACTAAACTTGTATTTGGAGATAATAGGTAGTGTTCTTATTGTGTTATCCTCTGTGATCATCTGTTAAAAGCTTTGTTGCTGAGCAGTCATGATAACCCTGTAAGATGTAAATTTGATTCATGGAATTTAATTACACCTTACAATGAGGTTAACATAAATGCCCAATTCAAGAGTTTTTCTACAAAAGAAAAATCTACAACTCCAGAAAGCTTGATTATAATTTGAGACAATCACAAGTAATAAGGGGCATTAAAAATGCAGATGGATACATGCATGCATGTATGTAGTGGGGCTGACAGATTACTGACAGAGGGATTGTCATTGGTGGGAAGGTATATTCAATACGGAAATATTCCTTTGAACTATCATAGAAACGTGTATTTCAAGTAACAGTTTCTGGTCTATGAATTATGTTGGAGTAGATATACATTATAGTTTCACACATCATTGTAATTAATGTATCTAATTGCAAACAGAACCAGCAACGTGTATTTACTTACATGTTTAGGTAAAAAATTCATGATTAGTTTTTGAAATCTCCTAACTCATAAACTTTTAAATATGTCCAGCGAATATTGTACTATTGATACAAGTAAATTACATGTCTCAATAGCATTCTCAATCCAGATTTTTGCATCAGCAATTAAGAAAACAGAGAAAAGTTCCCTTTGTTCTTATTTATTCAGTTTTCTGTTTTTTCCCACAACTTTATAGTTCCTGACTTGCAGTGTTTTCAAAATAACAGCCTCAGCCCTATGTCTTGTAGAATCGAAAAGTCATGGAATGTATATAGAATTCATTTTGTGTGTGCGCGCCATAAGAGTAAAATAAGCATTAAAATCGAGGAGGATGAGGATGATGAAGATGACGATTGGGAGGATGAACTTGAACTTGACATGTAGGCATACTGGCCGTATTTGTTTGATGGTTTTTGATTGGCGATTGCAATAACTTTGGGATTTGGAATGTGCTGTAATTCAATCTTACAAGCACTTCTTGGAGATTTGTTTTTAATTGTGGAAATGTAAAAGAAATATGTTCAGAAATGTGTTGAGAATGCTGAGATGATGATGATGATTATTATTATTAAAATAATTATAATAATAATAATGATGATGATGATGATAATAATAATAATAATAGTAATAGTGATAGTAATGTTAAAATTAGGTAATGAAATAGTGGTACATATGGTGGTGGTGATTTTAAATTATAATTTACATCTTTTGTTAGTCTGTTTTTCAGAACAAGCAAGTTTCTTTTTCCCATTCTACTTTTCATAAAAATTTTCCTGTATTGATCTACTTTTACACTCCTTGTTTAAATTAATTATAAGCAAAAGTTTAAAAAATGAAAGAAAAAAAGTATTTTGAGCACATTGTGACAGATATAATGCGGGAATGGATTTTTGTATTAATTGTAACACAAAATTTGAAATCAACAAAATTACAGTGTAAAAAGAACAATAAAACTCTTTACACACTCTTTATTCTGCAATCTGTTACATTAAAGGATACTGTCCAAAGTCAAAAATCCAGTACATCAATGATTGTAAATAATTTCATGATTGTAATAACTTTTACAGAGAAACAAGATTTTTTCAAATATTCTTTTCAATAATTTTCATAAAATGAACAGAAACACTCACTACATTAACAAAAGCAATACACAAATTAAGACAGTGTAAAAGAGTTATGATCACAAAATAAGAAATGGAATATGCAAAATGGCTTTATAAAAGTAATATGAAAATTCATTGATGTATTGATTGATATTGACATATCAAGTTATCGAAAAGTGAAAGAACAACATTGTGTTGGTTTGTTTGTATGCTTATTGTCCAAAAATTGTTAGGTTTAAAATTATTGTTGAATTTTAATTTTTTAAAATTTTTTTATTCATATAGTGGTTTGCAGGCACTTGAGTGGTTGAGAAATTTCTATTACTTTTATTTTTATTTTCTCTATTACAGTAAAGTTCCAGCATTTATCAGACTTCTTGCTCCAAAAGGTTCACTAGAAGTTCATGAAGAAGCTTGGAATGCCTATCCTTATTGTCGGACTGTAATAACGGTGAGTAAAATTCAAACAACATTTTTAACTACAGAATTACTATATGAAATATTTCAATATGTGCATTGAAAATCTTGTAATACATCTTATTTGAATAACTCGTGGAGGTTTTGAGAGGTTTTGAACGGTTAAATATGTGATTAGTGATTTATTTTTGTCCAAGTTAATGTTGATATGATACAGTTTTTTCCAGAATATGCCTTAATTCTGAACATTTAAATTTAGTGTTAAACAAGAAGATCCAATATTAGTCTTGAAAAGGAAAAGAGAATTGTTTGTTTTTTAAATATTGATTGATTATCAAAAGTGTAAACTCAGTGTAGAATATTTTTTTCTATATACTATAACTTAGTGTCAATTTTATTGAATGCGCATATAATTGAATGCTGATTTCAGCCAGCAGAATTGAAATGGTTAAATAAATTGGATATCATGAGACTGCCTTCTTCAGCTGAAATGCTCATCTTTAAGTTTACAACAAAAATTGTGGGAAATTATAGACTTAAAGAAAGATTATGATTGTGGTTTTAAGATATTGATGGTATTGATGGTACAATCTTGTAACATTCACTCATTGTGGCCTATATTCAGCCTTATACAAATAATTTATTTTGGAGTATTTAATGAATGTACATATAAATAAGCCAAAAAAGTAATTGTGTTCGTTTTTTCAATTTGTTTACTGTAAATTTAATTTCCTTATTGCTATGAGCTCAAAATTTCACTGATACAATTTTGTAATAATTTAGACAGTTTTTGGCAGAGGGGGATTTCTTGTAAATAAAACATTCATTCATTTTTCTTGGATGTTTTTAGTTTTTTAAGAAGTGTGTTGGTTGTGAAGCTATCCTAAGGAGTATTCTGACAATTTTCTTTTTAGGTGTCTTACACTTCACTTGCAGCAGAGACAAAGATAATATTTTATAATTAAGTTATGTGGAGTTTATTCGTTTTTGAATGATCATTACAGGTTTTCACGTTCTAATGGGCGTTTTTATTATGTGTTCATGTTTTTGAAAAAGAAGAATGATTGTTACAGAACCCATATATGAAGGACAAGTTCTTCCTTGTGATTGACACCCTTCATGCTCCTGATGTGGGTCAGAAGGACAATGTGAGTTCTTCTGGAAGATCAATATGTGCTTTTCTCTCTTTGTATTTCTCTTGTACAATCTCTTCAATAGTTGCATCTTAAATCAGGGTGTTGATCAAGTAGTCTTAGACCATCTGTTCTCATGTACTAGATTCACCTGTTCTGTTGCACTAGATTTCTAATGTAAGAATGCTTCTTTAAATGAAATTTTGCTGTAACTCTTAAGCCTTTATAAATTAGGAAAAAATGAGAAAAGGTGGTTTGTGAGATTACTTGTGCATTAGTTGGTTTGGTGATAAGGGTTTGTGTGAGTGGTTTTTGGATGCACATACTTTTAACTGTTACCAACAAAACACTTTAGCACGAGATTGGAATATATATCCTGGGCAGAGGCTGATGCATTTGATGTTACATGGTTTCTTCCGGTTCAAATATTGTCAGTAAAGTAGCTAAATTAGTAATAGATGTCTTATTCTTTTTATGCTTTGAATTATATGGGCGACTGGTTGGTTTTGGATGACACCAGAATCCTACATACATGAAGGAGAATATGGTCATTATGATTGAATCAATGCACATAGCTGACACAGGTCATCAGCAGAATGTAAGTGTCTTGATTGAAATACTAACATGTTTGAATGGTATAAAAGTATGGAAATACTTCTTAGGTGCTTGAAGGAATGTTACTAACTTTGTTGCATGAACATTTCTGATATCTAACTTGTTTGTGGGAAATTGGTCACCAAAATTTCTATTAGAATGTCTTCTTCAAAACTATTACACTTCTCAATTTCCATTATAATATTGCCTTGTATCACACACCGAGTAACATGTACAGTGCTGGAAGAAACACCTATTAAGAATCTTTCTTTTTATTATTATCATTATTATTATTATTATTATTATTATTATTATTATTATTATATTATTTCTTTCTTTCTGTTTTTGTTTCTAATACAGGTGCAACTCAGTAGATTAAAAGTATAGGTTTGAATGCTTTTGTTTCTACATTTGCATTAATTCAAAGATTGTTCACACTTTATATTAATTACACATAATTTTTTCATTAAAGATCTAATTTATTTTCTTCCCACTGCAATTTTCTAAATCATCGTTCACGTTTTCTAGATGTTAAGCTCTTGAGGCATTGCTAAAACCCAATATAAAATTACAGTTGTAGGGTATTGTAAATTAATTTTCTAGTAGTGATTTGCCATTAATTTCTTCTTTTTATGTTACCCTGCATATTATATAATTGTTGAATAAATGTTTTCTTTTCTGCTTCTGATTTGATTAGGGTTTTTAGGTTAGGTAGATGTGCATATTTGAATTTGTGGTTGCAACTATTGTATTAACTGTTTTCCGTAATTAGGTACACGAGCTACCTCCTGAGAAACTGAAAATTCGTGAAATTGTGCATATAGATATTGCAAATGATCCTGTTACAAGTGCTGATTACAAACCAGATGAAGATCCTACAAAATTCAAGAGCCAGAAAACTGGCCGTGGTCCACTTGTGGGACACTGGCAGGACCAGGTAAAGTATTTTATGCAATGCCAATGCATCTGACATGATGGTGGCAAAAACCCTTTTTTTTAAAGTGCATCTCACTGGATTTATTTGAGTTTTTTGGGTTTAATTGAAATCACTTTAATTTAATTTTTATTGGTTTAAAGTTGTATTTATATTAATTTAATTGCATTAATTTATATAAACGAAAATTGAAATGTATATTCAAAGTAATTACTAACAAATAGATTTATTTATTAGTTGATATAGTGTACTCTTATCTCCCCTGTTATATTAATAAAATATATAAATTACTTAAATGTGTAATGTATATATTTATCTTCTGTAAATGTAGAAGCTGGTAAATGAAATATGGTAATTTATATTCATGGTCCATTCAAAATTATTCGCAACGTGTTGGCAGGTTGAACAAGTGGCACAAGTAAATTGGTTAAAATATGATTTTTTTGTTTCATTTCATATCTTTGTAGGGTCATGGGAAGGACAGTATTTTGATCAAAATTGAATTTTCTGAGTACACTATATTTAATTACTGCTAATCAAAATCAATATAAATGGCAATTATATATTTCACAAATAAAAATGTTGATATACATCCCTATGTATGCTCTGGGCAAAAGGATGCTAGCGTCATCAAAGACAAAAATGATTACCAATTATGAAAATATTTTGGCTGATTTTTTTTTTTTTGCTTTTGATAAGCATTTCAAATTGCCAGGCTAGTTCCGCAGCAATCAAACAAATCTTTTCAACATACGGTTTGGTTAGGTCCAAATTGTGGAACAATTTGGGTGGAGGCAGACAAATTAGCCCTTAAATAAATAAACATCTAAGAAAAAGTTCAAAAGATATGTAACAGAGTAATTTTAATTTTAAGTATTAGATGTTTATAATGTTCATTAAAAGACCATTTCTTCTTTGAATAAAATATTCAAAATAGTGCTGTTGAATTATCCATGGCAGTGTGTGCATAGCTTGTGATCAACCATTTCTCACCCAAACGTACTTCCTTTACCCACAACCAGCCCCAATCTTATTGTTAGGTGGAGCCAGCATCGCCAACTAATTATTACTTTATCATTAAGTACCTTAATATTCAACACTAGTAAAATAAATACAAATTGCTACGATTTATTTTCACTTCTTGCATTGGGAGTATAAAAAATACTCCAAATTTCCGTTACATAATTTATGGACTGCCCCTAATGAGAAAATATATGTTCTTTATCATTTAATGAATTTTCTTCTTCTGTTTTCACAGGTAAATCCTGTTATGACATGTTACAAGTTGGTTACAGTTGAATTTAAGTGGTTTGGTCTCCAAACACGAATAGAAAATTTTATTCAGAAATCAGAACGACGGCTTTTCACCAATTTTCATAGGTATGTAGCCTTCTGAAGTTTATTATTATTATTATTATTATTATTATTATTATTATTCATCATCATCATCATCATCACAACCATTGAACTGTCGCTCTGAAAATGTGATTTCCTCTTTTTTTTTTTAGACAAGTGTTCTGTTGGATGGATCGTTGGCATGGGCTTACCATGGATGATATTCGAGCCATCGAAGATAAAACAAAAGAAGAATTAGATAGGGTGAGTATCAAACTTCATAAAAAAAGATTTAATTGCATTACAAATACTATATCATTTCTTGTTTCTATGTTAAGTAATTTAATAGGTGTATGTTAATAATGGGACAAACACAGTACTGAAATTCATTTTTTTCCCCAAGTATTTTTTTTCGGGTTACTGAAAATTAGTGACAATATCTTAGCAATAATGGAATGTGTTAATTCTCCTTTCCTCACTTACTATATGCAATAACTTAATGTAAGAGAATAAAAAGACAAATGTCATTAAATGTCAAAAAATAAAAGTACTTTAAAATATTTGCTACTTATGTGATGCATTATGGAACAGCAACTTTTTTTGATATTCGTGTATGTAAGGAATTGTGGTACTGTATATAAAATATACCATGTTATTACAGTTATATTAGAGTGTTTTGTTCTCCTTTAGCTGTTACGTAAAAGCTTTACATTGTAAATATACTTTTACAATGTTTAAAGTGTTGGAGATTACACACTAAGCTACTTTAAGAGTATTTAAATACTGTGCTCATTGTATTATGGAAAAAGTAATTTTAATATTGAATATAGATTGTGGTGAAGTGAAAATATTTTATTCCACTAGATTCTGAATCCAGAACTGTTTTACGAAGACAGATGTTCTACCCACTGAGCTTTAAAATCAAACATTCACGCACGACAATTGAACGATCTAATTGATAATTGAGATAGTAGAATATAGTAGAATATAGCAATCACCGATGATTTTACCCTGAATACCACTGCAACTCGAAACAGCTTACATAGCTTGTTTTCAGGCATCTCAGCAACTTGCTTTTGTCACATTTTTAGACCGTTTTTATACTGCCATCACTTTTTCCACTGAACCTATTCTCACTTTTCTTAAATTTAATTTTTATGTGTCATCTTGTAAGTATAACAATTCTTCAAAAATTAAGGTAGAAACGTTGAGAAACTACTGACTGCACATACTTTCTCACCTCTTAGTAATGACTAGGTCATAATATTGTACCGAGTACAAATTAAGCAAAACAAGGTTTGTAATGAGTTATTTTACTTAATTGAGCATTATGAATGTCTTCAGCAAGTTTTAGAGGATTTTTTTCTTTCTCTAAATTTAGTAACTGGATTTATCCACTTTTTCGTTACCAGGACTCGGCAGTAAGAGTCTTTCTGCTGAAAACGCGCCACTCGTTTCTGCAGCATTACATACTTACTTTCTTTTCTCAGGAAGAACCTTCCTGAGAGTGAGGATGTACAGTGGAAACTTTAACATTTAGAAACAGAGAGGACAAATCAATGGGTTTGTAACCTCAGGGAGGGAGTATAAAAGGGCTTCATGAAATTTTGAAAGACTGTTTATGAATGGCATTGTTATCACAGTAAAAGAAATTAACATCTCAAGGTCATCATAGAGCCAAACAATTTATTACTAGTTTCAAGGATTATTTGGACTCGTTCACATTCATATTTCCTTTTCCAGTTATCCAGTAAACTGTGTTATAATTGCATAACTTGTTAAAATTTGGAGATAGCTGTGATTACAGCAACTGCTTTGTGATATGGGAATTTCTTGTAATTGAATATGGATTTCGTTGACTTTGACAGTGCAAAGTAAACATTGAGAGACAACATTGTTGTCCCTATTTTATTCATTCAGAATATTATCACTTTCAGAAATTACCAAGGATTAACAATGTTTATTTCAGCAAATTATTTCTTTACAAGTGGCTGAAATATTCTGCATTGCCGGGAATTTTATTCATTACTGTAGGCCAGGGGAAGGAACAAGTTGTGTACATATTACCACCCCATTCGGGTCTGAACTGTTCTGTCCAGCCCAGCAACCTCCACATGCCTCTACTCATCCTGCCCAGCCATGCCTGACCCTGCCCCAGTCCACTGACATTGCTGGGTTTGAAACTAGCACCTCACATATGAAAATGATTTTAATAAAACTATAATTGAGAATGCTTTTGTTATTGTTGCTAAGAAATGTTAAAAGTAACATAGTTATAAAACCTATTTCCTATAATTTTTAGTATTGCTTTATGTTTACATTTTCCCCTACTTTTCAAAAGCAGAACTTCCTATCTGATACATTAATATTATTTTTAACTTATGTGCCATTAACTTCTTACATCCAACTAAAGCAGATATGCCTGTGGTTTGCTTTTATTTCTTGATTAAGCAGGAACACACAAACAGATGAATAAACTTTTCATTCATGAATTAAAACCTTTTTTTTTCATGTTTATGCAGATAAAATATTAAAAATTCTGCCCAAAATAACTAACAAATTTGTTTTTCATTTACAAAGACGTTCTCACCTATGTCAGGCATGATGAGCAAGTCTTTTATGGGAAGTAGGAAAAATATGTAAAAACAGTAATTGAATAAAATTGGAGGGAAGGGGGTTCTAAAAGTGTGTAAATCTTATTTTTTCTTACTCACAAATCTTGAAATATTACACAATAGTTAGTTCCAAACATTTGAGACTTGCTGCTTGCTCTTATTTTTTATTTTGCTAAAGTCTTTCCCAAATTAAGTTATCTTCCTCTCAGATATTTTGATTCTAGAAATACAACCTATGTAACTTTTTCAATGTCTTTTTGCAGCAACGTAATGTTGGTGAAGTTCGGGGCATGAGAGCTGAATCCGACTGATATGTTTGCATTGACATCTGGCGAAACAGCAACAGCAAAACGTCGCAGCAGCGTAATCACTTCATTTCTAGAAGTCTTCGTTCACATGTACAATACTGTACATTATCATGATTACTTCACAGTTTCTTTAATGCTGAATTTTTTAATTTTATTTTTGTTAAGAAATGATGAATGAATAGTGAGACTTCAAACTGTTTAAGTCTTAAATATAATACCAAATATTCTTTCTGTTGGTTCATATATGTATATATTTATAAGTTATGTTTTCATGTGGCTAATGCATTTTTAGGCAATGTATGTAAAAAATAATTTGGCAAGAATAATATTTGTTTTAAAAACATCAATTTTCATTACTTTTGTTACATACCTTTTCTAATTTTGTAACAATTGTGACCTCACTTGCAGTAACAATAAGAGGGATGTAGAATGTTAACTTCATTCAATTTATTTGACCCTCTGTTAAGATCGTTACTCTTAAAAATGTACAATACTTGTATTTATTTTTGTATTTTGTCTGTAAAATTCTTGTCACATCCTCCTGGCTGAGGATAGGTTTTAATAAGAACTTGCAGTGATCTCTCCCTTGTTATATTTCCTTGATCATGATGATGAAGATGATGGATGACCTCTGTTTTATTGTTGTGTACATATTGATTAAAAGAACAGATTTTGCGTCCCAATTGCTGCACAGTATCAGCTGAAAGTTGAATGTAAACTGAGAAATGCATTTTTCAATGTTTGTATAGTAACATTTCATCGTTAGAAAAATGAATACAGTGTACAAGATGTTAATTTCGTTTCACTTGAGTATTTTAAAATGGAAGTGGTTTTTGCCATGTTGTTAATATTTGTGACTTATCAATGGTAATTCCATTGTCTCCCACCAGTGTCATAATCTTAGATAATACAATATTCCTGCTGTGGTTTGGAGTGTACACGACCTTCATTAGGAGTAAAATGTTCATGGAAGATATTAATGAAAATATAAGATTGTTTCAAATTAAACCAACATTTGCAATAGTAAATGTATAGCTCATGGATATCAAAAAGTATTACTGAAATGAATGAAAGATTCATAAAGCAGATGAATAACATTTTGAGTATGCATTTTCCTAGTCCTACACCTTAGAGTAAAGATGCAGAGAAAGTCATCTGTTATAGTAGTACATGTATGTATGTGTGGATGTTTGTTTCTTCTGGAAACGCCTATTTTGTCAATACAAGACAAATTTTTACTGGATAAGAAGCTGTTGTGCGTAAAGAAAAGGTGAATTTTGAATTATTTCAAAACTATTGTCTTTAGGAAAAATATAATTTCTCTAATAAGATTCTCCAACCATAATTGTGAAAATTTGAGTTTTGTTTTCTGCAGAAATGTTGAAAGACTTTTCCTAAAACCTGTAAGATAAATTGTATTGAAATGATGCATACAGATGGGTAATCAGTGTTGGAATCAAATATAATTCATTTAAATAATTTGTTTTATAATGTATTTACAGAGCTGAGGTTGAATGACTTGTTCATATTATTACCATTCCATGCTGAGAGAAGATTTCATGTTTTTGTATATTTGTTATTGAAATACCTTGAAAGTTCAATAGTGGTAGTTTTCCAGAAAAGAATTATAGAACATAAAATTTGTTCCATAGCATGCATGTGTCTTTGCTAGAAACTACGTTTTGTCATACTTCTTTCTTCTGCAGAGAACTTTCATTATATGAATGATTTTAATTATTTGATGTTTCTTTTTCCTTTCAAGTCTTAAAGATTACTTTTGAAGAGAGATACTTGAATGAAATTGAGTGGAGTTCAGTGACGTAACTGAATGCAGTTGCCAACTGTAGGTCTTATTGACAATAATTATCACTTAGATTTATTTCAGTTCATTTTCCCATATCAAAATCTGCTCATCTTAATTGGTTTTGTTACAATTAGGAGGGTGGGTTGAATTATTTCTTATGACTAGTGTTGGCAAAAAAATTGGATGTCAATTGGTTGTTTCATGTGCCCTTATCCACTAGTGCTACTTAGCTATAAACGTTGGCCACAATTTCTGCATGGTAAATGCTAGTACTAATGCTTCAGGAATCCCCTTCATGTTAGAGGTGATGGATCTGACGAAGCCCTTTTTCCTTTCAAAGTGTATTGGGCTATTTCAGGGCATCATCTAGCAAAGAAGGCACATGCATCCAACGACCTGTTTTGGTTTCCTGTATGCCTTTCCCTGCAAGTGTGTTTACTCTGTTCTTCCTAAATTTAGGTAAATTATTGCAACTCACCTTTTTTTTGTGAATTCAGAACCTCTGCTACTATGTGGTAGTAAAGAATTGTGATGTTTCACTTGAGGGAAGAAAACAATGAAGTTGTCTGTTTTTTGATTGTTGAAAAATCCAAATTCTTCAGTGTGTAACATAATAAACAATACAACCTGCATGTGTATTGTATATAAGAAGTTCCTTCCTTTTAAATTTTTCCAGTTTATTTCCAAGTAGATAAGGTATATTAAAAACAACAAATTGGACTAAATTACTTTATTTCATTTTACTTTTCCTGAAATTATGGTAAAATCAAGAAAATGCCTTTACTTCATGTAACAGTGACTACATAATTTATCACAATTACTTGATTCTGTTTGTTAACATTAATTTGATTCCTCCCAAACGGTTTCAGTTAAGATAGCCACGTTGTCCAAATTGCGGCCAGGAAAATATTCAAAAGTCCACATAAAATTGGTGAAGACCACTGAAAAACAATTTTTTAAAATTTTTAATTAGTGTCTCATTGTGTGTAATATTACAAGTTACGTTACTCTCTAGAAAACTTACACATTTCACCTTCTTGGAGATCCCCTTGTAATTCTGGACAAGATGAATTACATGGATTGTGAGGACTTAAGCGAAATGATGTGGATCCTCGCAATTGAGCCAGCATAATGAGACCTGAATCCAATTCCACCTAAAAGCGTTAAAACTTTTAAAATCTATGGACCATTTTTCCATTCATACTTATCAACTGATAAAAAATTTCAGTCAAAGGACTGTTAGGATAATTTGTAGGGGAAAAAAGAAAAAACCAAAACAAAACAGTTTGGTCAAATTCAATGAAATGAATTTTATTTGCTCTAATTGAGTCAATTTTCAAAAGAATCCCACAAAATACAAAGTACAGTACTGTGGTCTTTCAGAACCGCAGGCATTTAATTACAACTTACCAGTTTGGTATTGCATCTATTTACCAAAATGGAACACAGGGTGCTAAAAATGGATTTATGATACATGGCCTGGTGACAAATTTGACATCTTGGAATCAATATGGCGGCTAATTAGAGATGCTAAAACGGTAGAGCATAGTCATAATCGGCAATGAAAAACAATTTTCTATCTTTAGGCAAAAAAATTAGTTTTGAACTTGCAAACCAAGAGGGCATCAAAAAATGACATGACAATTCAGTATGGTGGGCAATTTGAGATGCAACATTGGTATACAACTACTGTAGTATAATGTAGTGTATAAGGCATATAATTCATGTATAATGTTAAAAAGTAAAACTGAGCATTTGTAAACAAATGTGGTTTGTAGTACTTGAACGAATTACAAATTGAGGTCCCAAAAATGTGTAGGTAGCTTAATGCTATGAGTGTGACATTACCTCAGACCATTATATTATCTTCGCAGATTCTAGAATTTGTAAACAAAGAAGAAAACTTAAACTAAAAACTTAAATGAAACTGTGGAAACAAATGCTGTGTCCTTTGTGGGCTACAACTTGTGGCGATGACACGTGATTACTTGTTTCAGTTTCAATTCTGGTGTAGTATATATATTGTGGGACGAAGCTATTTGAGTTATCCATAGGTAACAAGAAGAATGTGACAGTCTCTTCCTGGTGATATCCGCTGTGCCATGTGGAAAAGTGATCAGTTTCATTAGCCGCTTGCGCCATCCCGCAACAGAAAGCATCTCGTGTATTATTAGGTGTGTAAAAAAGCCTTCAGAGAGTGATGCAGTGTAAGAGGCATTGAAGGGTGTCAAGACTGCATTGCGATAATTAGACACAGAATCTAATGGGGAGAGAACATGAACTCTGGAGAATGATCTAGAGAAATTACTAATGAAAAAGAATGAAGCAAACAATTGAAAATAATTGATTTTTTAAGGGCAAATACAGATATCACAATTTTCAGTTGGTGCTGTTAATGTATTTTACTTTTCCTCTGTAATAATAAAATCAATCTTATTGGAAAGATTCTATCAAATTTTCACATCATTGGATAAAGTGAACCAAAAATGTTAGTTCCCAGATGTTCACTGTAACTTGAGAAGATTGTATATATGATATATTTGCAATCATAATAAATGATAAGCACTTTCGATACATGATTCACTGAGAAAACGGCATCTTTGAATTAACAGTTTAGGCCGTTCAAATAATAATGAGGATGTCACTTCTGTGTTCAACTACTCTAATGAATAATATTCAATAGTTAACTATTTAATAATACATTGTTTTGAATAAAATTCAAAACAATGTATGTAATTGCACAATGAACCTAATAGCATTAATACAAATGAATATTTTCATGTTAATCATATTGCTCAAATTACCCCTCCCCCCCCACACCCACTTAATAAAAGATCCAAAACCCCATAGAATATTTTGGGAGAGAATTGAATAGCTTCAAGCAATTGATTTTTCATTTAAACTTTAAAAGAAAATATATTTCTGGTATTGAATTCATTGTATAAGACATGCAGTGTATTCATGAACATACCCGATGAATTTTCTAGCCTTACAATATTTTGCATAAGCAGTACGCGAGAAAGTAAAATGATAGTTAATAAATAGTAATACAATACTAAAAGTGGTGGCAAACAAATGCGTATAGATTGAAAATCTACAATAGTAATATTGAACCCTATTTATAGTAGTGTTCTCCAAATATATAAACTTATTAGTTTATATTATCGTGAACAAAAGGCTAATTCATATGAGATATACATTTTGCCAATTGGCATTGTTGATACCACTAGCACAGCAATGAAAGTTGATAGAAAAATGTTATAATTATATATAATAGCATTGCTCCTTATTCCGAAATTTTATTAAACAAGCAAAATCTGCTCATTTTCACATTTAACACAATTGAAGAATGCAATTTAAAATAGGTTTTAAACAATCTGAAAGATTCATTTTATAACGTATAACAAAAGCTTGAAAGTAAGAAACAAAGAAATATGAAATAATAAACAAATTCTAATTTACATAGCCATGAAATTTTCCTGACAAAAAGGTTTGAGAAATCAAAATTTTTTCTAAATGTGTTGGTAATTGAAAATTAACAAAAATTAAGTATATTTGAATGAAATATCTTGAGAAAAATCTATAGCTCTATGAGACTAGATGATAATATCTGTAGAATGGAAACAAATGATTAATTAAGAGTACTGATTAAACAAAAAAATATAGTAAGAGAAATAAAATCTAGGAGATTAGCATGGATCAGACATCCAGAAAGGATGGATCCAGCTAGATCACTAAGAAAATATCAGAATGGAAACCAATAGCAAACAAGGTGTAAAGGTAGACCAAAAACAAAATGCAAAGATGAGGTGAAAGACCTATGTAGAATGAAAATTAAGAATTGGAAAAAGATGGCCTAAGAAAGGAAAGGCAGGTTGTTGAGAAGGCCAAGACCCACCTCGGGTTGTAGCACCAACATTAAGATAAGCTTATGTGGCAACCAACTTGATAGTATCACCATTCATTTTACTGTCAGCACAGTAAATTGAGAGCTGGCGAGTACATTACCAAATCACAAAACATTTACAAAATATTTTAAAAAAATACAACATGATCTTACTTGAAGATCTGTTTTTTATGAGTACATTTCACTAAGGGAAAAAATGTATCTTCATAATTGTAGTTGTAGGAATGTTGCCAAAAAAAATTTTGAATTTTTGAAAAATTATAATTTACAACCTGCACCATTCTCGTAAGGTCATTTACTCTATCCTACAACAAAATTTCATCAAAAACGATGGAGCAATTTTTGAAAGGAAAAAAAGGTTAAATGAAATTAAAAAATGCCTTCATTTTATGCAAATTTACACAAAAAAATTTCAAATTTTTGAAAAATTGTACACAACATTACTTCAAAATCTATCTTTAAGGAACAAATTTTATTGAGGGAAAATATCTCTCTCTCTGATATTTTAGTTGTAGGAAAATGTTGAAAATTGATGTAATATTTACATTCCTTAGTCTTATACTACAACATTAAAATATTACTTAAGTTGTTTTAAAACATAAATAAGTTTAAGTTATTAGAATTTGTTACAAAAATGGAAATATTTTTTTTTTGTCAATTTTGTATTGTACCAGTAAGATTACGAAGAAAATTGATGTGGCTTGGGATCAGAAATTTTCTCACCTGTATATCCTACCTTCACTGAAAATTTGCTCCCAATTTTATTGTTAAGTGCTGTCAGCATCAACATCTACTTCCGACTTTATCATGAATTTTAATACATAACACAAAATCAATACAATTGTTTAAACTAAACTATAATTTATTTTCACTTTTTGCATTTATAAGAAGGGGGGTGTCGCAAGGGTTACCTAATTATTTAGGAGTTCATCTGTTCAGGGGGGACGGGGTATTCAAAATACTCCAAATTTGCGTTTCGTAATTTTAGCTGACTCCTTATAAAAACTACATGGAATGCTGTATTTAACCCCATTATTCAGAATGTTGATGGCAGCAATAAGAAAAGGTGTGAGAACACAGTATGATATCCCCAGTTCCTCAGGTGCAATCAGAGAACCTGACAGTAGGAAAATAACAAATTATATAATGAATTAATAAGTTTTTTTCTGTCTTTATAGTTTGGAAGGAACTTCCATCATCTTTACAAGTTACCTGGCAAAATACAGAATGAAAAAAGATCATGAACTCACCTTTTTATAAATTTTTGTGTTGTAATCTGACGACATCAGCACCCAATTAAAATGAGCAGGAGATACAATACTAGATAGAAAATATGGGCGCTGGTAGAATTTTCTTAGAGCTTTGACTGCATGAATGTCACAGTTCTGCCTGCCAAACACATGTTTATTAGCCATGTTAATAAAAAAAATATATAATCACTATAAATTACAAGTCAAGTTGGAAGAGTTAAAAAGTATCTACAAACACCACATAACAAATAAAAACTTTGATTCATTCATTATGCATATTATTTCTAAACTTCAGGGAAGTATGCAACAAGCATTGCATTGCTTGATTTTTATGTAGGATTATTCACACAAAACAATCTTTGAATTTTTCAAAGCAAGGTCAAAAAACACTTTGTAATATTATTTTCCTTTTAAATACCAGAAGATAATGCCTGTAATATTTAATATTTTTGATGTATGGAATCTAGGTGTGTTCTGTTGGCTTTGAAATATTTATAATACAGCTTTGCAAGCATCTTCCTCTTAGGAATCTTCGTTAGCATTCTTTTGATATTCCATATGTTTATAATAATCCTTTTTATGGCTCAAGTACATTTTCACGTTAGTACCAAACTGGAACACAATGTGTGTTTTATTCTCCAAAATCCTCAGCCCAGAAAATCATCATGAACATGCAATGCAGGTGGTTAGGCTTCTAAGCTTGGTTCTTTTATGCTTGCATTAGACTTGGTGGGTTAGCCCATTAACTATTCCTGCTTCTCCCAATTCATTTTGGATCTTTCTATATTTTTTCTTCCTCCTGGTCTCTAGTGTAAAATTATTTCAGGGAAATTTGCCTTTTGCATTCTTTTGATACGAGTTTTCTATTTCCTTTATTTTTTTAATTTTAATATATTTACTATTTTATATTTCACAAAATGTATTCAAGAAATAGGTCATCAATTTGAATATAACTTCATAATATGTGTTCACATATTATGTGTTGACATTCAAAAACTCTTAAAATGATAATTAGTTATCAAACATTATAACATTCTTTTTTACATTAACCATTCATACACTGTATATATCAAGCAGATACTCTTCAAATGAGTTACTTACCAATGGACAAACCACTTGTCAACTTTTGGACTGTGTATCCGTTTCAAAACAACATGAAGATCTGATGAACCAGGTCGTAGATTTGTAGTCAATATGCAAGGAACAGTATCAATGAGTTTGTCATCATTCAAATATAACTGTTTTATAAACAGAGACCACAATTAGTAAAGGATATATTAAAACATTTTGTCTACTTATCTGCAAATTTTAAGTTACCTGTGTGATATTGTCAAACCAAAAATCATCAGTGTTCATTACAAGCCAATTTTCCATTGCATCTACAACAATTAGAGGTGCATCTCTACTTATATAATTATCCAAGAGTTGTTCATATGTCACACCGCCCATTCGATCTATGTTTTCCAGTGCTTCACAAGACTGAAATTATAGTAATATGACAATTTACTTAGAACTCAATGTAATGATCAAGTGAAATTCTACATGAAAGGGAATTATTTTTTTTACCACGCAGTCCTCTTCTGTCAATGTATATTCTCCATAAAAAGGATTCGACACTAGGCATGACTCGTAGAACATGGATGTCCAATCCCAAAATGGCAAAAGCTGGTAAACATTGTTTTTAATATTGATAAATCTCTTGGTTTAGGTTTTAAAGAGTACACATCTAAAGCTGCAGAACCATACTCCAGATGTTAACTTACCTTTATCATAAAAAGTCTCCCAATAGCTGTCAAATGCATACTCACACTTCCCATCTGACAGATGCCATAGATTGTACCAAGAATCAAAATTACAGAAGCTAATATCTTTGCTCCTTTTTTCAACTGACTTCTTCGTAAAGCTGATACTAGTGGGGCGCAAATAATATTCATTTCCGCCTCTGTAAATCCAACTTGTTGGCAATACAAATAAAATGACATCAATTCTTCATCCAACAATTTCAACTTTTCTTGATATTCCATTTCTTTCTGTTTTCTTTGTGAACGTGCAGTTCTAACACCAGCCATTCTTGAGACAATACGTCAACCGGTGGTATATGCAGCTTTGACCCCGTTTATTAAAAGGAAAAAAAATATTCCCTTTCACTTTTACTGGCGACTGCGCGTAAGGAAAAATACTACCCCTTCTCGGGGCGAGCCTGTTATTGATCACATCGTTGCACGCTTTACAGTGTGCGCGCGCATAAGTCCAAGGAAAGTTACTTTGGTTTACACGTCATATGGATGAAAGTTGAAGAAAGTGGTGACATAACGGGTTATTGAGAAGCATATTCCCTGAAGTTCATTCGGTCATGAATCGCAAGTTATTAAGGCCGAACAATTTTTGTTATCGGGAGATTGAAACAAAGAGTATGATAATTAAGCACGATGATTTGTGCACAAGCTTTAGATTGTCAACAGATGATTGTGCAAGGAATCAGAATGAAGTTTTTTAATCTTTAAATTACCTTGAGCAAAGTACCGGAAATACGTCAATGAACATTGATCTTTCCGCTATCTTGGTTTGATAATGCTACTATACTAAATTACTTGTACAAATCTAATAATCATTGGATTATTTTTAATTATACATTTGATTCTCACTACCCCTTTTCCTGAGACTATTAAACCGTGTTTCTAATGTTTTCCATGGGGTAACCTGTTGGTGGTAACAATGCTGTCTGGAGTCTGACTTGTGCTCTATGGTATAACGCAGCAGTCAGTCGTTATGGTATCCAATGGTATCATTCACAATCATATAGCACAGCAGCGCGTACAGCGCTGGCGCAGCGTATAGCGTAATTTCGATCACGGAGCTGACGGATGATGAGCAGTCTTGCTAGAATCCTTAGAGCATGCTTCGAATTGGAAGTGAGAGAGAACTGTTGAAAAGTGGTAATGGAATGCTGAGGAAGGAAGGGTAAAGGGCAGTTTATAGGTTAGATAGTGTGGTACACCACCTACAACTTCGAGGGACATGGGTCATAAACATAGTCATGTAGGAGAGCCAACGTCAGATCATGCTACTCGACGTTCAATATCTGATCGACCGCTTGCTACTTCTCGAATGCCACAAATTGAGGGATTAGTAAAGGTAAATATAAAGCCTTTGTGTTTAATAAAAATAACGTATAAAACGAAAGCACTGCTTCTTTAACAGTTTGAACTTTTGTGCCAAGAATTGTGTTGGTGGATTTGTTGTTCAGTACCAGGATTGCTGATTGGAGTTGTAGCTTGGGAAGATTGAACCCTTTTCTATAACTCTTGATAAGTCTTACGTATGTACTAACTTGACCAAAACCTCGCCTCGAAGTGTCATGTTGAATAGTTTATACATTTTTGTGCTAGTCTAGTGGTACAAAAAGTTGTTTTCTTGAATGTAAAAATGCAAATTTAAAACGAATTAATATTTACTGTAGCAGTACAGCAAATATTAATTCGTTTTAAATTTATTTAGGAGTATTAATTTTGTTGAATTTCAGATCTTGACTAAGAAAACTTTAGGGGAAAAAAGTGCCAGTGGGATTGCAGCAGAAATATTTGCAGTAAGACATCCAATATGGTGCTACTTAGAATAGATGTACTTTGTATTTTGTGGGATTCTTTTGAAAATTAATTGCTTTTTTTTTTAAACAGAAGTATGTGTTTCCACCATATCAAGATCTTGGCGAGAGGTTATTTATGTATTTTGCTCATCTTATGCATTCAGAACATGAAAATATTTTGAGTGCAAAAAATTTTGCTGTGGCAATGGAGAATTTCTTTACATCACAAATACAGGATGAACTTCAGTTGGATACGTACTTAAAGGTAAAACTGCAGATTGCTAGAGAAGTCCATTTAGGAGGACATTTCTTAAAATAATAATAATAATAATATGGCAATAATAATAATAATGATAATAATAATGATGATACTAATAATAATAATAATAATAATAATAATAATAATAATAATAATAATAATAATAATAATAATAATATGGCAATAATAATAATATTATTATTTCTCTTCCTCTTCAGCTATACGGTGAATCAGATTGGATGAACATAACCCCAACTGGATTTCGTAAATTGATGCTTATTGCTTATACAATTGCTGTTGATCATTATTCTGGTGGACCAGCCAGTTGTAAATATTATTCCAGAACAATTAATGCTGTTGTCGATGCTGTTGTAAGTATCAAAGACACTTTGTTTTTGGGGTGATTGACAACTGATTTTTGCATTCAACTAAAGAAGAAATTGTTATTGTATAAGTAAATATATGTTTCCAGTTTCATCACAAGACAAGTCTTTCACAATCTTATGTAAGCCAATGGATTTTGCAAAATTGTCCTAGGCTTACTTACGGTTTACATCGATATGTTCTTCATACCTTGAGTACATCATATCGCCGAGAAGGTGAAGAATCTTCTGTAAGTTAGTCTTATTTTACAGATTGCATGTGTTTTTAAAGAAGTTGGATAATAAGTAGTTTTTGTCTTTTTGAATGATAGGGTTTAGAAGCAAGTACACCAGTCCTGGATGAAGAACCTGATTTTTCCAGTGATGATATTCTTCTGCCCTTGTCTGAGGTGTGGTTATTAGCAGTTTCTCTCCCAGAGTTGTACACACGCCCTTCCTCTAGCCCAACACGTGCTACACCAAATGGACTTTCTCCTCAGAGTGTAATTGCAAAAATGGTGAGTTGTTTCCTTATTACATTTGTTACCAATATTGTTTAAGTAGGGTACACGGTACACCCTCTGAGAAACATGGGCAGGGGGAAGGGTCTTCTTAAGCCCTCCCTCAAATTGTGCTATGCACTCGTACAGAGATTAATAAAACTTCTGGATAAATAATTTTCATGGTTTGCCTTCATATGCTTTGTCCCCGCCAATTAACGGCAAGTTTTCAGCTTTGCTCGCCCGTTTGCAGTTAACAGTCACTTTTAACGGCAAGTTTTCTCGTTTAGCTCGCCCGGATCGAAGTCACGGCAAGGCACAAACCTTCGGCCTCCTGTTCACTATAAACAACCTCTCCACCACATAATGACCAATTAACTTTTATAAGAAAGCACTTTTCAAGACAGCTTCCAGAATTCAAACTGTGCAGTTGCTGCTCGAAGTGCTGGTTTAAATGACTTCCATAAGTTGTACCATAAACTTGACTTTAGCCCCAATATTTTTAATTTCATAAACATCCATTTGAAATTCCTACCAAATGTCTTTGAATAATTAATTTTGCATTTTCTGTTAACATTCACAGTTTTAAGGTTTTTCTGGATTGTTCATTTGAATAGATTTGCAATTCTGAATATCCAATGATGTCAAAAGTAAGCGTTAAATTATTTCAATTTTTAAGAAGTTCAGAATTTTCTGGACTCCCTCCTACAGCTACTTCCTTGGAGTTTTTTCTTGATGATATCAGTTCTTCAAAATTAGTGCTTTAATTAATGTGGTGCGAGATTTTTTCAAAATAGGAGTGGTTTTCTTGTAATTTTGAGTGAATACGAGAAAAATTTTCTACTTGGTACTACAACATTACATACTTTGCGTATTATTTGTAACTAGCATTTTTTTGAAAATTCAGAGAATTCAACAAAAATTGAACTCTACTATTTTTATATGCAAACTTTGCTCCATTAGAAGAAGAAGAAGAAGAAGGGGGGAAAAAAAGAAGAAAAAAAAATTGAAGCAAGTTTTGAGAAAAGTTGGAAAACGTTATTTCTTGTGAAGCCTCCTCAAAAATCTAAATATTAGTTTCTAAATCAGCCAGCCATTACATCAATCAAATCAATGAATGGATTGATCTTGATGGGAATCCTGCCTGTGATTTAGCTGCTAGTATTCTTCATAGGTAAATGGACAGTTGTTTTGTAGTAAACCAAATTTTCAATGTCAATAACTGACAAAATTCGTGTTCTGACTATTCAATATAGAAGTTATTTACTTTACAACACATTAGAAGTATACACTCATGGCCAACTTCATTTATTTTTTGGGTACTTGGGACCCATAATACAAATTTTCTTGCCCAAAAAATTCATGAGTTTTGCCGCAGCAATACATTCTTTCTCTATTGCACAAAAGGATAATGTGGGGAAGTTAAAAAAAACTACAAAAACAAGATTTTCTCCAGAAGGTTTCAAATAATTTCTTTAAACTTATTGTACCAATAAAGTGCTGTGCACTAAATTTCACGATGTGAGCGTCATTTTGATTAAAATTTGTAAGGTAAAAATATTAGACATTTATACATTTTTCTATCTCGGGCTCATCATTTGTATTTATATTACAAGTATATTTTATAATTTCGTGTATTAGTGAGCACAAATGCATGAAATGATCTCTTGTGAAATTTTTGAAAATCTCAAAAGTTTTCAAGCATTAATGAGTTCAAAATTGTCCATTTTGAGAAATACTCAAAATACTTTCTCAAAAAAGGCTCCAAATTTTTCTCTAAAAATTTCCATTTTCCGTGAGAGACTTTTGCTCTTCTTTTATATTCTGAAAGTCCCGTTCCAAATTTCAGTTGCAAACTATTAGGGGACTGAAATTCTGAGAATGAGCGGAAAATGGGAATAGGAAAAATAGGAATGCATTCCTATGTATGTAACATTAATATCTCTGTATAAGTGCTATAAAACTCTGCCACCGAGCGAAAGCTCACTAGCAGAAAATAAATATTATTATTATTATTATTATTATTATTATTATTATTATTATATAAAAAAAATACTAGTTTTTTTTATTGTATAAAACACTGAATATTAATATTTAAGGAAAGAAATCTAAACTTTTGTGTTAATTGAGAATATCTGTCAATATTTTTTTCTTCAGTATTTTATGCGATGTTATTTATTTGTAATAAATTTCTCTATTAATGACAGTTTCTCAGATTATTCATGACAGAAGTTTTTAATGCTAAAGTAACTTTGATGCAGTGACAATGATTAGTGTCAAATGTCATTGAAATCCATATTTTCAATGTTATATACTGTATTAAAAGTCATGTTTGCATTGAAATACTCAATTTTACTTATTATTAATTTACATAACTATATCATATATACAAATAGTACAGTTGTGGCCCAAGGTCTCTGGGAAGATGCACCCAAGTTCATGGACACTAATGCTGTGGCTTTGAAACTTACATAAGGTATGAACCTTCTCAGTGGTGGTTGTGGCATGGAGGCTTTCCAGATCTTCATGTATCGCATCAATACTTGATTACTTTGATTCCTTCATTTGCCATCGATGGAGGCAAACCCTGAAGATATTTGGCCCGTGACTCCCTGCAAATATATTGTGAAACCGTAATGAAACCGGTATTTGACGCTTGTGGCATGCGTTTCAATTGGACAAAAAGTCCAAGGCAGAGAGAACGCCGCTCCTCCAGCCCTGTCACCTGGTGCCGACTGACGAAGACATCGAACGAACTTCGCCCCCCCCCACGGAATGGCACCGAACACGTAGATTGGCAGCAGCGCCGGCTGGAGCCGCGCCAAACTAGCGAGAGGTGTTGCTCAAGAAGGCAACCATCCTGGACGCCGAAGAGCTTTCACAAAAGCCATTAAGAAATTAGTAAGGCTGTTCGTTGCTGCGAGAGAGCTCAGGGAGGAGGTGCATGCTGACCCCTTGGGGACGCCCGCGTATAAGCTTGGGGTTACAACGGCCCATGGACTCAGGGGTATTGTTCAGGCGGACCACCCAACTTTTGCCCCCCGGTTTCATGGCAAAAGTTGTAGCTACCTTGTTTCCTCGCCATGTAGATATGTTACAACCGAAGGACTCGTCTGGACAGATCTAAGCGATGGGTTCCCGGCAGTCAGCTTGGCGCACTGAACCTTCCCAGACCGCTTGCCGGCCAAGCGTCCAAGGATTGCAAAGCCCCGCGGATTAGAGCGCGCGTTCCCCAAATGTAGCAATTAAAGGGCACCGCTATTTAAGACTCGAGCCCGATCTATTCCTTGCCCAGGCATTATAATGCATTGCATACCGACGAGGGGAATTTCCCCCGTCGATGGACCGGAAGCAGGAACAGTGAGTCCTTCTTCCGAAGGGCGATAACGGGCCCTACTGCATCCGCAGGCCTATCGGCCCAATCATGGCCTACTGGACACAGCAGGGCCAAAGGAGTTCGAGCCGATTTATCTGCCCAATTCTATGAGTCATCTTACAGAGGGCGCCTCAAGGACTTTGTCTGATAATCCAGTACGCGCTTTAGGGAATAAGCGAGGATCCACCCGGGTAAGACTGCTATTAGCAGTCACTCGACATCGCCACCGCAAAGGCCATGAAGGCAACCGATGGAAAGGCCGGGTCCCTATGAAGTATTGTGCTATAAGTGACCCCCTAGACGCTGAAAACGCCTTCTAACACCTGCCAGGGTGGAGCCTCCATTCCTTGTCTGCCCCGCACAAACTCTCGGAGCTTTACCAAAGGGTACAATCCTCGAACTTGTCGGTAAAAAGCTTAACCCTTTAACGGAGAAGAGTCCTCCCTATATTAACTGGGCGGGCTGGAGTACAATCTTATCACCCGGTCACAGGCCGGTGTCCCACGAAGGTCTGGGCGTACGATACATTGGTCCGAATGTACTTGGAAACATTATGTCATGCACCGCCGTCTTTGTGAAGGCTCCGTAGTTGCCCGAAGGCGCATCTGAAAATTATGACGATTGGATCCGCTTTGACGATGTTGCAATTGTCGTTGTCGGCAAATAATCGAACAAGCCTCACGCAGGTTGCCAACGAGGCCGTGTAGGCGGAGATCGGCGGTGGCTTACGTCAGTAGGGCTACAGATTGCCAGCCCTCCATAAACCAGAGGCTGTTGTGGATGAACAGGGCAGAAAAAGTGAGACGAGAAAGTATTACTCTTAACTGTCAGGAGCGCTGCACAAAATATTCCTCTCGCAGCAGTCACGACCCGTATTTCGGGAGTGGCGATATTGACCGCGCGAGGACTACGCCCCGCTTTTGACGAGCATCCTGCGCAATAGTCTCCCGAGAAGAAAGCATCTCGTATGGCGATCCGCATTTAGGCACAGACCCAATTATGCCCTAATGTATCCAGACGCGCGGTCCTGGCGCAAACGCGAAGCAGAAGCCGCGAGAGCCTGACCTGGGACACATTAGCGTAAGTTAAATTCTCCACTTCTACTCTACGCAGCCCGCCTGTTCTGGGCGATGCCCATGAGCATTCAGTTTCCAATACGGTCCCGTGGGCCTAATTCGGCTGACAATCAGAAGGTGTCCTGGCCTTGCGGGGTTGCTCCCGAGCCGTTTCCGCACCGATATCTTCATGATCGCCTGTGTGTGCTGTAGCAGATATGCCTCGATCGAAACCTCATTGCCGCCAGGAGGAGACGCTAGACTATTGCGCAAGCCGGAGGGGGGCTCCCAAACTGAATACCATTACGAAAGAGACGAGGGCGCGGTGACAATGGACCAATGAACGACCCCCAGCATGGGAGCAATCATCAAACTGGGGCGGATGGACATTTCCGGGTCATTCCCGAACATCTTGACGTGGGATGACAAAGGAACTTGGAGAATTAGAGTTTTATCTAACTCAGGATCCTCGCCGGGGCCATGGATTTATCCGAGAGTATCCAGCCTTCAGATTACGGTTGGCGACCCGCATAGCTCCTGCATCGCCCAAAGGTGTTTCCCGGTGGCATTGAAGATGTTTAGACACG